GACATCTTTTAATCAAAGCAATCCATATCAAGGCAGCATTCCAAGGTATCATAATTGCAAATATTTATGGCAAGTTAGATAATAGCTGTATTTTTGTTGCTAGCTTTTTCTTCCTTTCCTCCAGATCGGATGCTGACATTTTCTAATGAATTAGTTCCATTAAGGAAAAAATCCGAAGTAATTATATTAATCGGGACAACCTCTCCTCCACCTCCACCGGCTTCACTTTTAACTAGCATGCACAGCCGTGTGCACGCGTTCACGTCTCCTCAATTTTTCAAAATACCGCTGTAATGAAAATAAATTAAAGCGAAAGCTTATTTGTCAGCAGTGTAGATAAAGACGCCCCTCCAAGGGAGGTCTGGGTCCCTCGACGTGTGGGGGTGGCCTCGTGTGCCAGGCCTAATGTTCTTGGAGGCTGAGCCTGCAGCCCGGCCCGTGGGACTCGGATGAGGAGGTGGGCTTGGGAATCTGACCGGAGATTCCCTTCCCCAGCCTCCCCAGCCTCCGCACCTGCCTCTCCGCGGATCCTCCCCACTGGCGTCTGCGCTTACTGGCTCCCTTTGACCATCTTGCAGAGAAAGGCAACGCGACTCTGGGGCAGCCCGAGACCAGCAGGAATGGGGGCCCGGCAGGCGCCCATTCCGAGGCGCGGCCCGCGCTCCCCCACGGCCAGCACACTACCGCCTCCCCAGACAGACTGAGGTTTGCCTCCAGAGCCCCCGTGCTCCCTCCTGGGGGCACGGGGCAGCGGGAAAGTGGAAAACGCGTTTCTTCACTGTCTGCAGTGTGCTCAATGCCAACACTGAAAAGCACCCGAAGGAAAGTCCTGATTCTTGCCACTTTAAAATGACTACGTAGGGATGAGGGTGGCAGACGCACCAGATGGGGCGCTGGCTCCCCGCAGCCCTGCCCACGGGCCCCTCTGAGTGGCTCTGAGGCGGAAGCCGTGTCTCAGTGAGTGACTCGGCCTGCAACAGGCTTCCCAGAGGCCGGATTTCGTTCCAAACCAGAGGTTCTAGAAAAACGTCCCATTTCACCTCCTGGAAAACAGACATTTCCTCCTCTGCAAAACGGACATGTTCCCTTGGCCACAGTCACTGCAAGGATGAAGTTCAATGAGAGAATGTTCCAGAGGCTCACAGGGTCGGGAGGGCGTCACAACAGTGACTTTCTCTAAAAGGTCCTGTCCCAGCAGCTCTGCCTGAGGAAGGTTTAAACGAAAGGGGCACCTGCAAATGTGATCAGGGCAGGGACCCCCGCGTCCCGGGGGACACGCAGGCGGCCGCGCGGGCCTGGCCACCTCTGCACCATGCACTGCTGTCCCCCACTGCTCTCCAGGGGACGCGCTCCAACGCCATTTCAGCAGGAGCAAAGCGGCCCAGGCTTGCTGCTGGTGGGGCTCCTCCGTGTGACCGGTATTCAGCCCCTGGTTTTACTTAGCTCTTTCTGCTCCTCCTCCAGCCACGGGGGTCGACAGGAAGGGGCAGGGGAGGCCGCTCTGGGACCCAGGTGACCTGCCACTGCCAGCACAGGAAGCAGGGCTGCAGACGCCTATGCCGTTTGCATGTTCAAGCCGACTTTGCGGCCTAAGTCCCTTTTCTCTCCTTACTTTTTGCCTCGTCAGCCAAGATTTTCACAAGCACGCCAGACACCCATCGACGGGCCAGTTCTTTAGAGAAGGAACCGAAATGACAATGGCATTCGACATCGGCGTGGATTCTGAGTTTGCAGAGACTTGTGTGCAAAAAATATAGGCACCGTTGGAAAAATATATATATTTTTTCAATATATTGTGGTATATATGCTACACACACACACATACACACACACCCCCATTGGAAAGATACGTACACGTGGTATATATGCTACATGCACACACGGCCTGTGTTCAAATGAATTTGAAAGGCTATTTAGCTCAGAGCTACGGCTGCACTCAGTCCTATTTGACTCCCCGCAGCCGCAAGGCCGGCGCTGGTGTCTTCCGATAGCGACGCTGTCCATGGGGTTTGTGTGAAAGCCTCCAGGTTTTCACGGGTCACTAGAAGTTCCCCGTTTCCCCCACTTTGGTTCGGGAGGTAGACGCCATCTCTCTGGACACGAACTGGCCACTGGTAAAAATCAATTTTGATTTTATCAGTATGTAGTACTCCTGGTGGCTGCTGAGAAGGATGGAAGAGGGAAACCCCGCAAACGAGGAGAAAATTAAAGCCGGGCCCTTGTGCCTGCGAGGGCCCCGGCTCACTCTCTTTAAGAGATAATCTGTGTCACGCCGGGGCAGCCCGCATTGTCCATCTAAAATTTCAATCAATGGAAGGCGATGGGACTCCGTCATGGCTTACGTCTCTTCGCACTGCGAGCTGGGTGCTGGGTAAAACTCTAAAATGAGGACACCAGTGGGCTCAAGGTGCTGCTAAACCAGCGAGCCCCCCGCCTGCGGCCGCCCCCGCACCAGCCAGCACCCTGCCCAGCGTCGGCCCCGTCCTGTGCTGGTTCAGTCCGAGGGTCTGGCTCTTCCCTTCTCAGGGGAGAACGGACCACGTGCCAGGGCCACACACCCCTTTTTGCCTTCCTCCAGAAAAGGCGTGTGCTTCCCCAGGGCCCTCAAGGGTTTGGGCCCTGGGGGTCGTCCCGGGACCTCAGCAGGGCTGGCTCCTCGCACCTCCTCTTCTGCCCCCGCCTTGGCCGACCAGGGCGATTCAGAGGACAGCCGGTCGCCCTGCCGCTCCCCTCCCTGAGAAGCGCCCTCGTCCCACTCGGCCAAAACGCCCCACAGACAGACGTGTTCGCAAAGTCTGAGCCCCTAATGGGGAAGAGGGTTTACCGGATGTCGAGTGGAAAAGAAGAGACAACTTTGGGTTTTGAATTTTAACGTTTCCCTACCAACCAAATGCCCATATCCACCTGTTTCTAGGTGTCTACAAAATGCTAAGTCGCGTTCAAAAGCCCAATGCAGAGGCGGCCACCCACGCATTCTTTCTGAGGACAGTCGCTTCAGGGAGGCACCAGCCTCAGGCCAGCTCCCACCCGCTGTGGTCGTGAACGGAGCTTTATCAGAACACACAGCCGAGTCCTCTAACAAACAGCCTGCAGACCCCGGTGGGGACAGGCCAGGGGGAGAACCGTGACTGCGAGCACTCTGCTTCCGAGGCGGGGAGCTCCTGGAGGCTACAGAAACGTCGCTGCTGTGGCTCCCACACTGGGGCAAATTCTAGTCCACTTAGAGGAAATGAATGGCACACGGCACATGCCTCACAGCTCATGGATCCACGTGGAAAAAGCACTGGAGACTAATTTATAACGGGATGGCCTTCCCCACCTGTGAACTCGGCGCCATTGGAGCAGGAGGTGTGGCCCATCTGGGTAAGAACTTGGGATGCGGAGGGAACTTACGGCGAAGACAGGAAGTTACTGACTGGCCCGCCGGGCTCCCACGGCCCGTCTCTCTCTAGGTCCTGAGGGGATCACCAGAGGCAGACTCTCAGGCCACCCTGCCCCGCCAGGCTCCAGGGAAAGTGACTCAGGGTGCACTGACATCTAAGGACCCTCTTCCCGGTGTAGAACTCGTCCTTTAAAACCCGCCCACACACTGCAGCCCCGCTCAGCATAGCTCTCACGGGTCTTTCCTGCATGACTCCTTAACGCAGAGGGGAGGCTTCTTTTCCTTCAGGGAAAGGCAAGGGTGACTGACCTGCTGCTTTAGACGTTCAGCAGTTTACTTTTATACTCAGTGTCAGCGACCACCACCCAAGTATATTTATAAAAAAATCAAACACACAAGGTCTATCCGGAAAAACTCCAGCCATTGTTAACAGGAGAATGGTTTGCACACCCTGGCTGCCAAGGAGAGTGGGCTGGAAATGTGCATGTGTGAACAATGACACCTTCACTGTACTAGTCAGTGGGGGCAGCAGATGCCATAGAGCAAGCGTGTGTACCATGCAGCTGTTGCATTCAAAATGACCGAGCGAGTGGAGCAACAAATCTCCATCAGATTTTGCGTTACAAGCGAACAGTCCTCTGGGGAAACAGTTCCGAGGACTCAGAGGCTGTGGCTGGGGCAGCTGGTGACTGGCAGCTCCAGCACAATGCGCCCACGCACGCACGCCATCTTGTGCCGTTTTCTGGTGAAACATCAAATCATCCAGGTGATTCAGCTCCCTACAGCCCAGGTTCCGCACTCTGTGGCTTCTGGCTTTGCCCAAAACTAAAATCACCTTCGAAAAGGAAAGATTCCAGACTGCCAACGAGATTCAGGGAAATACAACAGGGCAGCTGATGTCGAGTGAGAGGCCTGTGCGAGGTCCCAAGGTGCCTATTTTGAAGGGGACTGAGGCGTCCTTGTCCTACGTACAATGCATCTTATCTTCTTCAGTAAATGTCTTTTTCCTAGTACATGGCTGGGTACCTTCTGGACAGACCTTGTACATATTTTCTCATGGACAGGGCACATTTTAAAATCAGCCTTCCGCTGACAAAATGAAGATGACAAAAATCAATCCTCCCATGTGTGACATGCTCCCAAATGTGACAAAATGACAAAGGAATTCTTAATTTGGGGGCTTTATTTTAATTTTTTTTCTTTTTAAGATGCTACATAGTCAAACAGTACTGGATTGGTCTTTTACGGCATAAAATGACTCCAGAGTCTAAGTCTCCGTTACCACGTGACGGACGGACGATCGAAAGAGCCCCTCGCGCACCCCTCGGCACCCCAACTGCTGGTTCCCTCCCCCTACCCCCGCTGCTGCTCCTGACCCCCGGCTGGGGCCGCAGGAGTCAGGCCCGGACCAGGCCGGGGCCCCAGCCGGAAGTGCGCGCACTGGCTGGGGGTCGAGGGGCGGGCCGGGGGAGAGCAGCACGGAACAGCGGCGGCTCCTCTCCACTGCAAGGGGTCACATGGAGCTGGCTGTTGCTACTACAAATTTCCCTCCCGATGACAGCTGTTAATTATTTACACAGAAAAATACTTCCCAGCTGCTGCTCTCCAGCCTTCAAACGGACCACACGCCAGCCACACGTGTGCAGAGCCCGAGCCCTCCAGAGGCAGCAGCCCCTGGCCCGCTGGCAACAGCGCCAGCCAGCGTCTGCCGCCAGCCTCGGGCGGCACAGCTGGGCTCTGGCCACAGCATTCATTATAATCTCGTGACAATAAGAAAACATGAGATGAAATACATTAAATAAGTTAAATATGCATTAAATGTTTCCGAGTAACAGCTCAATCTCACTACATGAACCAACAGTAATTTAGCTTGGTCCCTTTGAGAGAACAAAGCGTTGACTTCCTGAAGTGCTGGGCCGGTCAGTCCCCCTCGCCGCCCCCTTCCCCTGCCCAGCAAGTCTGTCGATGCTGCCACGGCCCGAGTCTTCTCGGCGTCCGGCTCTGTCCATCAGCCCCCAGAACTGATGGCCGGGGTGGCGCGCGGCCAGGCAGCTCGGGGAGTGAGCGAGCAGCGGGGTGGCTGTGGAGGGGCTGGCGCTCCCACCGCACGGGGCTCCGGCTCCCGAGGGCCAGCACCACCCGGCGAGGAAGTGTCGCGTTTTCAGAGAGGTAATCCAGCAACATGGACCGAGGCTACAAATGTCTAAAATGACATTTACAACATGCCATTATCATTTAATCACGGTTTCCCTTGTCATTAACAAAGATCATTCTTTTCCCCAATCACGTACTATACATTTTTAACTTTCTAAAAGATCGTTATATTATGTTACATTTGTGTGTGTGTGTGCACTTGCACGCGCAGGGAGGGGTAATTTAAAGGCAAGACCTGTGAGATGTCATCATACATTAATTTTATACACGGTTATGGTAAATTTAAATCCCATGACGTGGCGGGCCCACCAATCCCATCGGCCACCCTCGCCTGCTGCCTCTACAAGGCGATCTTCCCGATGATGACCCCGACGATGAAGAACAGGACCACCAGCGCAAGCAGCCGGGTGCTGAGGCCCTCCTCCTTGCCCACCGCGGCGAGCGCGGGACCTGGGCTGTTGCTCTGCACCGTCTTCCTCTTCCGGAGTCCATCTTCTTCCTATGGGAGCAAAGACACATTTCAAGACACTCCACGCACCGGAAGCGGCAGCCGCCGTCCCGCTGAGCGGTGGGCTCACACCCAGCTTCCGACCCCATGACATGGTCCACCCTCCCCACTGGGAAGCCTGTGAGGGGACTGGCTTGAGGCCACTACAAAATGCTGTCCCTCGCTGCCGCCATCCATCCTACACATTGCTGCCAGTTACCTTTTCACACCATAAATCCAAGCAGGGAACCCCCGGTTCCCCAAGATTTACAGAAAAAGGCTCTGAAGAGGGTCCAGCATGGGCCCGTGCGCTTTTCTGGCCACGTCTCCCAGCTATTGCTCTTCACCTACAGCCACCTCCAACCCCCATCCTTCCTTCCTCTCTGAACGGGCTTCCCTCATCGCAAGGAACTCCCGAGCCAGGACCGGGAGCTTCGCAGTGGAGAGCCACGTGCACAGTGGGTGTCCACGGAGTTACATGCAGCCTGCTGGCCTTTCACTATTCCAGGACATGACCTGCGGAATGTTACACTGTGACTGCACTTGATACATGCATCTCAAATATTTTCTACATAATGCATGGATTTCCCAAACAGGCAACGCGGCTTTCCCTCTATGTAAAGGCACCTGGCCACATCCCCAGCGCACAGCCGCCGCGGCTCTGGCCCCCAAGGCGGCCCACGCCTCCCGGAGCCCCCGCACCAGCTGCACTTTCCTCTCTCCTTCTCGTTCTGTCCCTTCATGGCCCCCGAGCGGACGCCCCGGGCCTGGCGTGGCCTCCCGTCTGAGATGGTGCTGGTCCGCGCCCCCAGCCCCCCCAGTACCAGGAAGCTCCTCAGGGCAGAGCGGCTCCTGTCTGCGCCCACCATGGTGGGCACAGGGCGGGGCCTCAGGAAATGTGTTGACCAAGTAAAAGAATGAAAAAACACAAAACAAAAAAAATCAGTGTTTGGCAGGATAAAGAACCTTCTAATGCCGAGACCGGTCCGGTAATATTTTAAAGACACTCTGCCCGTGGGGCACGGCCAGTGCTGCCGCACGGTGGTAAGTGACTGGCGTTACTCGCTTAACTTCAGAAAATGGGCACAGCAAAATGCAGCGTTCATTTTACTGGGTTTATATGGAAGCTATTTCTACCTATTTATCACTTTAAACGGCACAGAACTGTTTCTGAAGAGAAATACACTCAAGAAAAAGCTTTAGGCGTTATCTTAGATCTTTAGCCAAAAGGCAAAGTGTCAGCAGCAGCATCTCCCTGCTGAAGGCAGTGACGGATGGGCAAACGGAGGCGTCTGAGAGCAGTGGCGCCCTCCCAGCGCCAGGGCGGCTCGGCGCCCACCCTGCAGGAGCGCGAGGGAAGGCGGAGCCGACGGAACGGGCACGTTCCAGAGGGCGGAGCCGAGGTGGCCAAAGGGCGAAAACCTACTGCGCTCTGTGCTTGGGGGGCATGTCCAAGGTGGAAGCAACAGATCACCCTCAAAGTTGAAGCTGCAACAACAATTCCTATGGTCAGAAAATGAGAAATGCTCTGAAGACTGAGTCTAAAACAGACATCCTTTTACAGCTGAAGGGGCAGGAGAGGCGCCTGGTGAGCGGAGCCCCGGGAGACGCTGTGGCTCCCGCAGACTTAGGACTGGTTCGAGCCTCACCAGCCACTTCTGCAGCAGCGCAGCCCCCGGGCCGGAAGCGGTGCCCAGGCCGCCGCCGCGCCCAGGCCGGACACGACGTCCCCCTCCCGCCTCCACCCGGCTACTCTGACAGCTTCCCATCTCCAATCTCGACCCCAGGGTCATAGTTTGACGGGGGCTTTTTGCTCAGACCTATTTAGAATCTTCAGAAGCCAGAATCACACTTGTGTTAAAGTGGAGGCCGGGTCAGAGCAGACCCCCTTCAAAAAGAGAGCCTCATCCAGGAGGGATGAAGTGGGGTTTGAAAAAGTAAATTCCAAATAACCATTACTGTTTTATTTTTGGTCTCAAATCTTATTTTCGATTTACTAATGAAGGGTGGGAGGGTTTTTTTTTTTTTTAAACAAGGAGGTAAGAGTTTAAATAGTTGAGAAACTTCAGGTTCTTGACCAGGGAGGTGGGAGGGACCCTTTGAGAACCCGATGAATGCCATGGGATTTCTCCCTGGGAGAAAATTGTGCAAATACAAACAACTCTACAAATTCAGGGGTCCGTCAGCCGCCCCACCCCAGTTCTCCGTGAAGAAGCCCCAGTCTCCAGACCACCAGCAAAGGACGCACTGTTACCTTTAACTGCCTGTTCTCTTCCCGCAGCCTCTGCACTTCGCCTTGCAGCCTCTTACACTCTTCCATCACCTTCTTAACTTCTGTGTCGTCCAAAGAGGAGCTCAGGGATTTAGACACCATGGGTGTTTCTGTCTTTGGTGCAGTTGTGGATATAATTTTATTTATTTCTACATCATGCTGTTCAGAAATAAACGAAAGCCCAAGTGTCACCAACTATGTAATAAAGGACTTTTTACGCAAAGTAAAGTAGCTCTCAGCAAACACCACACGTGGCAGTGTTTCATCCACACTGTAAAATGTCACATTCATTTTTAAAATGGATCACTTTATCTAGTATCTTAATAATCTAAAGCAACTGAACCCCAGAAATTACAGACAAGGGCAAATAATGAAGTTCGGCTGAGACTAATACTTCAAAGAAAGAGAAAAAGGGCTCTGTGTATTGTGCTATCAAAGTCCTGCCGTGCAGAAATTAGCATACGGTAATTGTGCAGGCGCAGGGATTATTAGCCACAAATTACTGTCACCATGAAGATGTGAACATCCCCAGGACTGGCTGGGCAGGGGCGGGAGGCCAGGGGGGCCCGAAGGCGGTTTGTGCTGTGAGCTCAGTGCCTGGAAGCTGGGGTGGGGGAATGGCCATGCCCGCGAGGTTTCAGTCTGGGAAGATGTGCGCCCCCGCTCCCCATGTGAGGGCTCCGTTTTGAGACTGACCAGGGGTGCGTCGGTAGGTGGGAAGGGGGGATGTGGAGGCTCGGCTGTGCTGGGGACAACAGAGGAACTGAGAACCACTTGCCTAGCGCCACCCTTTAATTTCCAGATGGCGACTGGGAGTACAAGGTCCCCTCTACAAAGCTAACACATCACAGAGCGAGGACCAACATACAGGTCCTGCAGCTTCCAAAGCCACCTCGCGCAGAACACACTGCTCGATGCAAAGGACACATAAGGAAAGTGCTAACGCCTGGACAGGAGGGACGCGCCATGCCATCCGGCACGGGCTGCGGCGTCCCTGGAGCCGTGAGGGGTGCTGTCCACACCCGGCCTCGGGGCAGTTCCGTCACCCACGTCCAGCCAGGGATGGCCAAGGGCAGCCGATACTCTGCTGTGGCTTCCGACTGTGTCTTTAATGCAATTTAAGTTTTTCTGACTAGTCTGAGGGGAGTCCATATTAGCACCTCAATCTTCTGTCTCTAGCCGGTCACAGTGAGGGCTGGGGCTGGGGCTGGGCCGTCCCTTGGTTTTACAGAGAAAAGTGTGTGACAGCCTGGAGGACGCTGCTCTGGGGACTCGCCCTCCGGCAGCCAGGAGACTCCCAAGGGGGCAACTGTCCCCTGGGGCCCACGTGGCAATGGCAGGAGATGGTTCTGGCTGTGCCAACTAGGGGCGCTGCCAGTCCCGAGGGGGTGGAGGCCGGGCGCCCACAAGGCCCAGGACGGCCCCCAGCAGAGCACGTTCCCGTGGGGACAGCCTGCAGTAAGAAAACCCTCCCCTCAAAGCAGGTGTGCGGGCGGGGCGGCGGGGCTGGGGGTCAGGCCGCGCCCAGGGAACAGGGGTGAGCAGGCGGGGGCAGGGGGGGCCTGCAGGCTTCGCGAAACAGCAGCTCCTACGCACTCCCCACCGTCTGTCAAGCATCATGATAAACGGCAAATTATTCCCTGTTTTAGTCTTACCCAATAGCAACCCGTCACTTTGTCAGGTCAAAGGTGTTCTTTGGGATTTATAACATTTCAACAGCCAACAGGTTGCACATTGCAAGGGGAAAAATTGTTTCAATTATTGTCTTTCTGCAAGTCTTTCAAAGGCTGATTTCATGAGGGCCCACTTATTTGTCGACTTCAGCTTTTTTTTCCTTCTTACATCAGAAAGGGGAAAATAATTTGCCAACTTAAATCTTGGTTTTGCAGGAGATGGTATGCAAATAAGTATCAGCTTGCAACATTCAATTACTGTTAACTATAAACATACTTACTGGTTTATCATTTTCTGCTGGCAATTCAAACACGCATCTAAGTTTTGAATCCATAAGGTCTTCCGGTTTTGCCTCCTTCCACTAAAACAATTTAAATTTAATAATCAGGATATTATAAAGCTGCTGGAAGAATAATTTTCTTCCTATAACTGACAATTTCAGAAAAACACTCTTAATGAGAAAGCCCTGATGTATATCAAATAAAGAACTAAGTCTGCTGAGATTCCAATATTTTCAACACGACAAGATTAAATACACTAGCTTCCCTGAGTATTTATCACCCGCTGCCAGCCCCGGCCGCGCTGCCTGACTCCTAGGTGCCGGCCAGCGCCCCGCCCGCCGCCCGCCTGCGGCCGACATGGACCACGGAGGCCCGCCACTGGCGGCCCGAGGACCCGCGCTGGCTCCGGCTCCTGGCAAGAAGGCAAACCTGCGTTACACGGCACATCCTGCCCAGAGGAGGCACATCCCGCCTGGGAGCGGCTCCGGAGCCACGCCGCCGACTTGCAGCACAGCACGGCAGCTCGCAAGCCCCTCTGGGCTCGCCGCCCCACGGTGCCGCACCGTGCCCGCCCCTGGTCCTGTCCATGTGGCCAGCTCCCTGGCGGGGTCCTGTTCGGGGAGGACACCCTCTTGCTTCCCGCCTCCACTGGAAGTGGGGGCAGGGATTCAGGGCATTCTGACGGCCACAGACCAGCTGAGCAGGAAGGTTCCAACACAGAGAGGGAAGAGCACCCCCACCCCTGCCCCAGGGCCATGCAGGAGGCAGCCAGAGCAACACAGGTACCAAGAGCCATACATGGCAAACAGTGAGTATGTGAACAATAGGGGCTGCCCAATGAACCCCTTGGGCAAGGGCTGCACCCGGACGCTGGCGCCACCGGGAGGAGGACCGCTGCCAGCAGGCTGTCCGCGCGGCCCCTGGCGCGCGCCGAGCGTCGCAGGTTCCCTGTGACCGGCCACCAGGGGCAAAGGCGCTTTGACACCAGAGAGAATTGGCCGTCGCCATCTCAACCAAGTAGTTCCAACTTAGTGTCTGTCACCGAAGAGGGCCAATTAGCACTAAATGCCTTCTAACATGCCGTCTACATGACATCACCTGTGGGCCATTCGGGCCACAAAACATTTAACCTCAATCTAATCATGAGGAAAGAGCTGGAGAGATCCAGAATGTGGGGTGTTCTACATGTCCCCTGGCCTGGGCACTCAGACTTTCAAAGCCGTGAAAGATAGGCAAGGCTGAGGGCGCCTGACCCGAGCGAGAAATGCAGGCCGCCCGGGGGCCGGGGGAGCCCTGCGGGGCGGGCTGCCCTACGAGGCGGCATGGCTATCAGGGACGTCCTCCGCCGCGGCAACAGCATTTGGCTGTGTGAGAGACTGTCCTCGCGCTGACGCGTTTAGGGGTGAAGTCTGCACCTTCCACTCCGCGGAAAACAAAGTGTGTGCCAGACACGGCGTGAACGTGGCAAACTGGTAAATGGGGAATCCAGGCAAAGGCGGCGTGAGTGGTTACTGTGCCTTTTTTCTGTACTGAAAGGAAAAAAATATTTTAAAATAAAAAGCACACGGCTCTCCTTCAGTAACAGTGGTTAAGTGTCAACAAATTACAGGTAATTTTTCGTTTTTGTATTTCCAAAAATCTTACAATGTACATTTTGTACAAACATCTCCTCAAGAGCTGTAAAAATGGATGCGCAGGAGGCGAGACTCGCCCTTCCTGCGGGCACGTGGACTCCCACGGCAGCCGGGCCGCAGGCCTCCGCCCGACCACACCCGGGGGGGACGGACACGGCCGCACAGGGTCGGCGCAGGCGGCCCTCAGCGCACCCCGGCCCGAGCCGCGGCTCCCCTCAGCAAGCCATGCAGCGCAAGCCGGCAGGACATGCCTCAGGCAGCCCGCCTTTCGTGTTTGCCATGCATGTCCTTGACAGCCCGAATTAACAAGAAGTGACACGTGATGTCTGAGGGGATGAAAGGGAAGGTGGAGACCGTCTCATGGGTGGCTCTTCTGAGCAGGGAGGTGGATGGCTCCTCACCACTGACCTCTCTCAAACCCCCAACAGGGCAGGGTGTCTCCCTCATTCACTGCCCAGAACATAAACACCAAGGAGACGGTCAGTGTCCTTTTCTAAGACAAGAGGAAGAGGCTGTGGGCGACACTGGGACCCAAGGGGCTGAACACACACAGTCCTTGGCCTCAGGCCTCCTCGGGTGACGCCAGCCCCCTGGTTTGGGCTGGCAGGCGGGGAAGTGGTGGGGGTGCGGAGGCGACCCTGCCTGCCTTTCCCAGCCGGGGGGCCAGGCGTCTGTCCTGGCTGGAGCGGGGCCCGGAGGAGCGGCTCTGCACACGGGCCTCCCGCTCCCAGCACGGGGCGCCTCCTGTGTACTCAGAAGTGCAACGGGCTGACCTCGGAATTTCCACTATCCTCCTTTTTCCAGAAAAATCAGTAATAAAGCATCACTTATTTTATGAAAACGAAGTCATCTTATTTTTAACAAAATTAAACATGTATTTAAGCAGGAAAAAAAATGAACTCTAAAGAAAAAAAGAAACAGAATTGTGCTTACCAGAACTAAGGGAAAAAAACCCAAAACCCTTAAGGGCTGAGGACATTTAGTATTGATCTCTCGCCCCCTCTGGGCTCTGGGGGGTGGGGGGGGGAGGTGCTCAGGAATGGACAGTGTCCTGTTCTGTGGGACCCAGGACGGGAATAGAGAGAGAATCCGCAAACCATTCAAGATACAGTCCATCAGAACAAGAAAGTGCTAGGAGAAACTGAGGTAGAAAAGTCAGAAAAGAATAATATTCTGGAGAGTTACATAAAACATTAAGATCATTTTAGAAAAATGAAAAGGATAGTCAAAAGCACAAACCTCCCTGGAAACACCATTCCCCTTTAAAAACAATTGTGACACATTGGGACATGCATGCACCCACAATTCTGTACCTAATCATTGAATCACTGAAAAAGTAAGAAGCATTCAGTACTTACTACAGCTTCCATATCAGAAGTGTCAGTTGGCGCAAACATAGACTGAACCATAAACTTGTGTTTACTTTTCTCATTGGGATCATAATCGAAAGGCTGTAACATCACTGAGAAAGAAAATAGTTCATTAGGAGGGTCAGACTTGGTTACCAGCAGCCAGTTGTCAATACTTGAATGTTGGCTATAAAGCAATTCACCCAGTTCTCCAGGCCTCGTGGTGCCCCGGGCCCGTGAGCAGAACACGAAGACCAGCATCCTTCACACTGCTCTGGGCTCAAACCTGAGGTCCCGCAAGGCTAGGTGACTTGCCTGAGGTCGAACAGCAGGAAGTGGCGGAACTGGGGCCCAGGTCTTCTGAATCCAAGCCCCCTGACCACATGCCGGACACACTGTCTCCTACAGCCCTCACGGAGAGGTGAGCAAGGAACACCCCCAGATAATCTCTTTACACACTAACCAGAAGAATCCAAGACGAGCAAGGAGCTGTGTTTGCTCCTCTCCATCTGGTTTTCCTTAGCCCGGCCATCGAAGGAAGAGCTGAGACACACCCCTGCCCGCAGACACGGCAGCATTCTCACCAGCAGCACACTCAGGCTCACAGCTTTCCGTCCGCGGCGCCCAGTGGGGCCTTGCCTAAAGGCTCCCTCGGAGGGCTCCCCCCCTGCACTGAGTGCGGGGTCCCTGCTCCAACGGGTTTCCTTGGGACCCACCCCGTCCATTACATGACGGTCGCTGAAAAGTACGGTGTCTGTGCAAGGCTTTGCCTGGCCCCACGTCTCATTAAAGCCTCTGAAACAGCTTTCCGCAGGCGGAGAAAGCCTGCGGCGGCCTGACTGCGCTGAGAGCTGACGCAGACGGAGCGCTTCCCACGGGTCAGAAACCAGGCCCTGTGCGTCAGGCCTGCCACTGTCCACTGGATCCTTACGGGGCAGGTCCTGTTACGGAGGTGATCTTGACTCCTATTTTCAGACAACAAAACTGAAGCACAGAAAGGTCACGCTGCAGAGAAAAGAGCCCTTGAATGCGGGCGGTAGGCCCGGAGAGCCCCGCTGGGCCGTGGGAGGGCCGGCTCCCTGTCCTAAGGCAGGGCAAGCTCCGCCCCTCCGCCCACACCTTTTCCGGGGTGCTCATCGGAGGTCTCTGTCCCTTGCACCCCATCTGAGGGCTTCCCAGGTCCTGCCTCTGAAGCCTCACCATCAACCACGCCCGCAGCAGATAAAGGGCAAGTGTCCCGAGTAAATGAAGACGAGTTTTGCTGGGCTGTTCAACTGAGTGAGCCGACTTGCTCAAGCTCAAGGTCACGACGTTAGGAAGACAAAGAGCTAAGCGCAGCCCAGCAACCCTTCCGCCACAAGCGTCTCTCAGCTGGGCAGAGCCCCTGTCCTGCACCCCAGGCCCACTGTCACGTACCTCGCCGAACCACGTGCGATGGAGAAGAGAAATACAAAGACCCACCCCGCGTCCACCCGGGGGTGCAGGGGTCCTTTCTATCCCGGGGACAGAGGGTCTGTTACGCTCCAAAGATGCAGTGAGGCGAAGGCTTCAGTGTGCGCAGGCGCCCAGGCCGCTCCGCAGCTGCACCGAGCTACGGGGACCCTGCTGGGAGACTCCTTCAGGACAAAAACCCTGCAGAAGCGTGGCCCCTCTGGGACAAGCCGCCCTCGCCGGCCGCACGGGACCCGGCATCCCTGGGCCGACAGGAGGCCTCCCGGACAGACCGGGACACTGGCCCACCAGCACGGCAAAGCCACGCACTCGTCTTCTGCAAGCTGCCTTCCCAGAGTGGCCCCCCACCCTCCAGGGCAACAACTGGGTAACACACGACAACCTAAGAAGTCACTGGGATCTCTCTTGGACAGGAGCTGTCAGCCTCGTTTAGAGCTGGGTCACAGTTTTCAAACCACGGTCATATTAATGTTCATTTTTTAAAAATTAAAGTGAATTGGGTTTTGAGAATTTTGGGTTTTGCCTGGCTGTGACATCATACTCCAGTATTTTTCTGGATGGGGAAGAAGCGAACTTTGTCCCAGGTGACAGTCTGATGTCCGGTGGGCATAGTTCCTGCAGCAGAACACGGACCCCCGCAGCTGTGACCAACCGCTGCCCCTCCGCTCCGGGGAGCATTAAGGCAGAACTGGGATTATCCGAACAGAGCCTGACGCCCAGAGGGCGAGAGCAACAAGACACTGATTTCCAGAGAAGTTGGCTCTTCAGCTCAAAACGCACTGGGTCAGACACAGAGCTGCCGTCCAGGGAACCTAAGGGCCTCTCGCCCGACCCAGCCCAGGAATCTCCGCTCCCCTCCTCACGCTGCACCCGCTTCCCCGAGGCCCTGCGGCTGGCAGAGAACAGCCAGGAGGCTTCCGCGCGGGGGCGGGGAGCGAAGCCCCCACTGGGCTGCCGTGCACGAGGCCCCGCGCAAGTTCGTCAACTGGCCCACTTAGTGTTCCCAACAGCCCGCCGCAGAGGCTCCGGCCCTCACTTTCCAGAGGAGAAGACGCGGCTTAGAAAGGCGGTTTAGAAAGGCTACGTGGCAGCACGCGGCCCCTGCCAGCACTCCAGGGACCGGGAGGTCTCGCTCCACCCTGGCTCCGCCCCCAGAGTCAGGCTTCCCTGCGACAGGCTCTCAAAGCGCTATCCGCGGACCCTGAGGGTCCACTGGGTGGCCCATTCAGTCCACACTGTGCCCGTAAGAATACCAATACGTTATGAGCCTCTTCACCTGTGCTGACATTCAGGGACGCTGGCACAAAAGCCCCGGTAAACTGCGAGCAGGGGGCAGGACAGCAAGCGCGCCCGCAGGGCCCGCATCCTCCTACCAGGCACGGCCACACATGTGGCTCCTTAAAAAAGGCTGATTTCCCTCAGGAACACCCCGATGGAGCCGCTCCCTGGACCACATCTGACGGCACGTGGTCACGCTCCGCCCTGAAGGCCCTGCTGTGCTGGGGAAAGCTCCTGGGCAGGGGCCCGGCCGGCAGCCGTGCCGGATGCTGACTTGTGGGTTTGAGAGTCCGGGGGTTCCGACCCGGGCACAGAGCAGGTGTTTCTCGAACACGAATGGAGTGAGTCCACCCATTCAGGGAAAACCGCTTACAGGGCTGTGGCCAATGACAAAACGCAGGCTGTCAGGCAATCTTGGAAAACTTGTGCCTGTCGCCGAAAGCGTCACGTTTCCCAAGTCCTTAAAGACTTTTCCAATGAGGTCAGTGGAAACAGTAACAAGTGTGATTTTTTTGTTACCTAATGAAATATGTCAGCATTCGGAACACCTGTGCAATTCAGCTGCTGTAATATTACACACTCTAATCTAAGTGCAGGAGAGACCAATGCATCTTGGAGAAACAAGGGTCAAACAGTTCACAGCCAGTTTCAGATTCCACACTGTACTACGCTTTATGGAAGTGCCACTTGTCAAGTTTTGGTGTAGTATCAAAGAATAATGCCTGTAATTATCTGAAAAGGCTCTTAAAATACTCTTCCCTTCTCCAACTACATATTCTGTGGTAAAAGTGGTTTTCCTTCATACTCATTCATCAAAATGACACATTATAACAGACTGTGTCCCATTAAGCCAGACATTAAAGATTTGCAAAACATGTTAAACAGCACCGGTCTTCTAAGTTTTTTGGATGTAACTGATTTATTAATATGATTACAAAATAAATCAGCACCTCTTAAGTCCCTCAGTTTAATCCGCAGCACGGCAAACCCCGGTACAGCCCACAGGCAGCAGCGTCCCTGGGTGCTTACCGTTTTCGAGACGCGTGGGGCCCAGAACTAAAGCACCCGAGCACCCTCGCTCTCCGCCGCGCCGCCCTGCAAGGGGACCCCGACCTGGCGACGGGATTCTGGTGCATGCGCGGGGGGGCAGCTCTGTCCAGTGCCCCCCCGGAAGAAACTGCAGTTGAGAGAGAAAGCAGTTCCGTGGAAACCCAGCCACGAGATCCGGCACGTGTGGGGGCTCGGGGGCACCGGAAGCACACACGCCCCTGGCCGGCAGGGGGCAGGGCTCCTCGTGCTACTCTGACCAAACCGCCTTGCAGCTGCCTGCTGCGCCGCCACAGAGGGCGCCCTGCCGCGGGCCTCCCAGCTGTCCTTGGCGCGACGGCAGGCCCGGGCCGCCTCAGTGCCCGCTGCCACGCAAACCCGGAAGCCTCGGGGCACCGCCTGCACCCACACCTCCGTCCTAAACAAGTGCAAGCAGATGTGACAGTGGCAACCCACAGTCACCACCTTAAGGGGGCACTGGGGACAGCCAGGGCCGCAGGTCGAATGTCCCTTCTGGCCTTGACCAGGGCGGCTCACACAGTGAAAGGCTGCCGGTTTGATCCCCCACCAGGACACACGCCTGGGTTGCGGGTTCGGCCCCCAGTTGGTCGGGCGCATAGGAGAGGCAACTGATTGATGTTTCTCTCCCTTTTCTCCCTCCCTCCCCCTCTCTCTAAAAATAAATAAATACAATCTGTACAATATATGCACCCCTTCTGCAAAGCCGGGCACTCGTGAAATGTGAACACGGGTGTCGGGTGCGCTAGGGAGGCTGGCGAGAGCTGAAACCTCTGAACTGTCGGTGACCTTCTGGGAAGCGCCGGGGGCAGTAAGGGGGGCACTGGGCCCCTTCCCCACGGAAACGGCTCTCCTGCCTCGAACAGCAAGTGGAAGAGGCAGCGTTTGCCACCTGCCAGCTCTCCTTTCCTTCTGGGCTCCTGGAGCAGCAAACGAGAGCGAGGAGGTCGAGGGGCCACCCCGACTTCGCACGGCTTCCCAAACCCCTGCTGCGCCTCAGGGTCGGCACCCTGGTCAGCATGGCCTCCAGCGCACGCGCAGAGGCTGGTCTGCCGCGGCCGCCGCCGCCTCACGTCGAACCCGACTGCCCGTGCCCTGTTAGCTGGCGCTTTATGAGAACATGACAGAATAAATGCTGTTAATCGTTTGTTCTTTCTGCTCTGTACATGCAAATTGTGACAGAAATTATGTACTTTTTCCATGACAGGCTATAAAAGAGCTTCCCATTAACTTAATTTATTTCACTTGAATACCAGAGACACTGATGATAAAACCCTCTTAAATGAACCATCTATCCTACTTTTAAAATGTATCTGCT